TTTTTTGTAAAGGAGACAAAGATAATGGTGTGATCATTCATACGACTTGAACACAAAAAAAATTACGACCTTATAGATTAGAAAATTTGAGAATAAAGTCGGTGGATAGCTTACATATACATAATCTTACATAACTTTCCACTTACTATTTATAGAAGGCAATTATTTTTTTCTCGAATTTAGTTTAACGGGCTCTATCTGTCTTTCATTTTAAATCATAATTGAATCTTTTTCCACAGAAAATCATACTAATTGTGCTTTTCAAAATGATATCGAATTTTATATATTTTGGAACAAAGAAAAATGGAGACATTTATTACCGGTCTATACCATGTGATAATGTTTAATAGTACATAAGATTATACCACGTTGTATGAAAGTGTATTATGGTGGTATGATATACCAAAATGTAGAATGGTTGCATGCATAATAGTAGGAATATTACTTAAATGACCATTTATCACTTTTCATCACCGTCTACCACAAGTTACCACCATATACCGTGATGAATTGATGATATAGGGTGGTATATTTGGTCTTGAATATTTTTTCCTTAGTAATTTGTAGATCTAATATATCATAATGAACCCCTTCTTCTGAGAAAAAAAAAAATAATAATCAAACTTCTAGTTAAAAACAAAGGTGGTAATGAGTGGTATGAGTAAATGAAAAGAAAATTCTCGAAATATATTGAAATTGATATTATTTTTTACACAAAGTTTTCGTACTATCTTTAAAAAAAATTAAAATCCAAAGTTTAAAATAAAGAAGATAAAAGCCATTAAAAATCATTTAATCTCACTTAGATCTAGCGCCACTTAAAATGAATGACTCAAATTTGATTATTTAAACGTTATATACCCTATCTTGAACCAAAAAATCATATATGTTATAACAATATTTCCCTTCTATATATTGTAAAAAAAACATGGGAACGAAAAACTTTTCCAACCATAATCTTGGCAAAAATGCGAGCAAATAAAGACGGGGCCGGTCCCATATAAACCGCCATACTATATTACATAGACATTTCCATAAATATAACGGTAAACGCACACAAGACCGAGAGAGATCGTTATTCACACTTTTAATTTGGTCGTGATCTATGACTGATAACATGGAATTACTTGGCCAACCCAAAAACCTCCTGAACCACAGGAAGTGGGATATTACATGAATCCAGACAACTTTCCATTCTTTCATTGATCTGACTTAGGTTTTTGGCCACAGTACTTAAATTAGTTTTTGTTTGAATAAGATACACAGAAACGGCTCTGAGGTTACGAGGACTACGGGTGTTAAAAGTTCGTTATGTTACGGCACTAATCAATCTATTTCTCGTTGCGGTCGGGTCAATGGGAACAGTGGCAGTTCGATAGAAATATATATACTTGAAGGACGGTTACGTTATGGCCGATCGAACAACCTATCCCTTTGGTTTCTCCTCTTCGATCTTTCTACAATATTATCCGTTTTACACTATTCAGTCAGTCCATTATGAGGGTTTCCTTCGGAACTCAAAATACTTTGACGAGAGAGAGAGAGAGCGGCCAAAAAGAGGCAGAGTTCAGAGAACCGGCATCACGAGGCGACACGTGTCATTGCTTAAATATAAACTGTATGGATGCCGGATGGATTGTTTGCAGTATGTATGGGTACGTGAAAAACAACGAAACAAAAATAAATGGGGTGTGGTCTGTGGATATGGTCGGTCAACAATGTCATGCAACTTAATTACGCCATTTTGCTCTTTTTTCATTTGGACTCAGCAAAATATGCGTCTTAATTTCGTATCTCTAAGCTACCGCCGCCTGGTCACCTCAAAAATTTCCACGCATCACGCCCCTAAGTCGTCCTAGAGCAGAACAATGTTATACACAAGTGCTTCCTGGGTCACTGGTTTTCTTATCATGGGTGGGTAAATAGTTTAATTCATATTCGTGAACATAAAGGACATTCGATTTGTATAAAAAAAAAAATCAGCTCATCAATAACTCTAGGAACTCATACTCTCCTGTGGAATAGTACCGATCTCCGGGGAAACCACGTAAATCGTGTGTCGCGTTTGTTTTTGTTTCCGTTCGTTCCAGTGCATTCAATTTGATATAATCATCAACATGGTAGCAGAGCCTTCCTTCCGTGATCGAAAGGTTTTCCGTTCGAATCCCGACGATCGACAACATTTATTAAGCACGTGATGTTCTGGACGTGTGCAAACTACAAACCCATATGAGTGGCTTTCGTTTGTAGGAACATGTTAGTATGTGGTATAAGATCCATTGTTGAACATTTCTCTACCACTACAGTTATTAGAACCAAATGGTTCTTACGTAATACCATCCACAACACTAGTCTATTGTCATGACATATATTAATAATGCTACTATATTATTCATCGTTAGAATTGAGATATCATGAACATGCACATTTATAAAACAAAAAAGTTGAGATAAGGCAAATAGTATGCACATTTCACCCCCCTCCCCCAATATTTGGAGTATATTGTCACCAAATTTATCATTTTATCAGTGTTTCTTTGTGGCATGCTCTTTTAGTTATTTATTTTTTGTTTTCAGCAGTTGATGACAAAACTGAAGTAACAAGAGCTAGAGGGAGGGAGAGGGTGGGATTCGCAAGGCTTTCCTGGACCAAAATTGTTTTTGTCTCTCTATCTCTCTAGCTACCATATCCGTTTTACATATGGCGTATATCTCCACAATCTTATCTGTTTTGTTTTGTATAACAAACCAAACGGTTAAACCGATATGTTATATATATTAGCAAATGAAATCGGTGAAGAAGATTACGAGGGAGGGAGCGGGTCGAGTGCTGGTTGGTTAGGTTAATTATTGACAGAAAACCGTAGGCTTTCATCCCCATACCTCAATCTTATGATTCCCGGCCGGCCGGCCTAACATTATCCCCAATCTTTTATATGTGCACACTCCCCTACCCTCCTCTTTAGGGCACACTCCCCTCCCCACCACCACATACCACTACTACTATTTTTAGTAATTTATAACATTTACTCTTCCAATAACTCAAACTATTAGAATATTTTTTAAATATAATATAGTTTTTATACCTGAAATTCTTAGCATCGATTGAACGTTCTGCTTACACTTGCTTGTATTACATTGGTTTAATACAAGAAGTAATTGGATCACGAGAATTTAATTAACATTTGGATTCAACGTGGCCAAGAAACTTACGATATGATGGCCATGCCTCTTGTGGCAAGTGGCAACCAATGCCTAAGGGGGAGGAAGACAAGTCAACACACATAGAGGAAGATGCAAGGAGCTAGTCGTTGTGAATCAAAAAGGAGAGTATAAAAAGCAAGAGAGAAAGATGCAATGTGTAAGAATGTGGAAAGAGTTGTGGTGAGATCAAGAGCAATTCGAAACTATAACTCTGTGATTATAAATCTAGTTGTTCTATATGGCTTGAGTGTAGTGATGAGTGAGATTCCCTTTTTAGCATTTAGCTTGCGAGGAAGAGAGAATTGCGATCTCAACTCTTGTTCTGTAAAAGAGCTAGGTTTGAGTTCCACCAGAAGGAACTCAACTTAGAGTTGGAATATCAATTAGACACATTCTTAGGAAACTAGGTTTTAAAGGGCACACGCCATTAAGCCGAGACATAAGCAACAGACTAAACTCTTGTTCTGTAAAAGAGGTTTGAGTTCCACCAGAAGGAACTCAACTTAGAGTTGGAATATCAATTAGACACATTCTTAGGAAACTAGGTTTTAAAGGGCACACGCCATTAAGCCGAGACATAAGCAACAGACTAAACTCAGTTAACAAAAAATACCGTGACATCTTCTTTCTTGCTATTCACCATTTCATCTTTGTTCTATATTCTGTTTTCCAAAAACCTTTCCTTTGTAGAAGTCTGTGAAGTTGGAAAATTATTCTCTAGAGTAGCACAACTCTTGGGCTTCACTTATGGGTCGTATACCAAGGATTGAGCCACGTCTAAGTTGAACCTATATCAAAACCTAACCGACGAGTCCAGTAATGACTATGTCATCTCGTCATTTCAAAGATCGTCTTCTCGCCTTCATTTATCATCATTTGGCTTAAATCTATTAATCTCCCTCTGTCGTTTTTAAAATGGTATCAGAGAAGGTCTCTGACGAGTTCGTGTCAAGATGGATGCAACATCTTCCTCAATAATAATAAAGCGTCATCTCCAGCCGACCAATTAGATGGAGGACCACTCATCCACTCGCCCACTCAAGTTGGACAGAAACAACTATGCATTCGAGAAGAGTTGTATGGAGAATTTCGTACATGCATATGAAAATGAACTCATCTCAATTCACGCCACAATCAAACTATTAGAATGTATTGGGATAATTCCACTAGAACACCCCAAATATAAGAAAATATCACTTATATTCTCAAATATTAAATATGAAGATAAAAATGTCATTTTGAATACTTGAAGATAAAAATGTCATTTGTTTATAGTTAAAGTGTCCTGATGAAATTAGCCCTAATTTCTTGACGTGCATCTAGATATTATTATTTTATTATTTGTTAGGAAAATAAGGTTTAAGCTCTTTTTTGTCGAAGCTGGCGTTATATTCGGTCTTCATGAACAAATGGTTAATAACTAACATATCTATACACTCTTTGAAACCAATTAATTAATTGGTACGTAGTTAACAAAGAGAGTGTCATACAAAACAAGAGATTGCTTATTAGACCAAACACGCCCAAGCCAACAATCAATCAGAATTCAGAGCACATTTCGGATCCACGAGCTGAAACGAGAGTCGGTGCGGCGGTGAGGTACAAAACAAGAATACAAGAAGAACACACTACTACTACTACTACTACATCATTAATAGCTTCTAATTACTAGTTAACTAGTTTCATACTCCTAATCTGTACTCATCCTTCCTATAAAATATAAATACAGGAGAATAGAGTCAATATAAATATTTACTAACTAATAATAATATAATATTATTTTTATTATTCACGTCACTCTCTCTCTCTCTTTCGTTCCTTCCTTTTCACACTTGTTTAATTCTTGTCTTTCGAAAACAAACGCAAAAAGGAGGAAAAAAATAGAGTACATCACTCATCTCTATTTATAATACTCCCTTCCCTCTCTCAATTTGCCCACAGCTTCTTCCCATGCACTTGTCCCCCTTCCCCTCTTCCTTCCTTCCAACTCCCTTCTTCTACCTTCCTTCCTTCCTTACTTCATCTCTCTCTCTCTCTTTCTCTGCATTACTCAGAAAACCCACAAAACAAAACACCAACACAATGTCGAGCAGAAGATCGTCGAGGTCGAGACACGGCCAGTCGGCGAGGAGCAGCAGCAGCATCATCTCCGACGACCAAATCATCGACCTCGTCTCCAAGCTCCAGCGCCTCGTCCCCGAAGCCCGCTCCACCACCTCCTCCCGCCGATCCCGCGACAGGGTACCACCTCCTCCTCATCCTTCTCTCTTATCTGATATAATTGAACATTTTCCAACAACTTAACTCGAGTTATTCTCCGCATTACATTTCTTGTCTATCCACTTAGCTTCCTCCTGCGGTGACTTTTCAGTGCTTTAAACTGCTTCTACAAACGTTACAAAAACGACACTATTGTGTGGTCTCTGTTGGTAGCTACAAGATAAAAAAAAAAAAAAAAAAAAAAGCCAAGAAGAAGAATGAATGAATGAATGCCGAGTATATTGTAAATAAAATTTCGCGCCTAGCTTGGTTGCTGCCGATATCCATCGCTCTCCGTAATATTTATAACGTGAATGCTACGGCCCATATCTGTGCATTATCTGTCTGATATCTCTTTTGCATGTTGCCCACAACTTGGGTCGGCGTGGGGCTCCTTTGTTCCCTAGCGCCCGAGCTCCCAATGTTGGAAAACGATGCCTTTTACCATTTGTTCACGATGTCAATAACTCGAGTCGTTTGGAAATGTTCAATTATGAATTATATATCTCTTTAGTTGGTTAATTATGGCTCGTTATTAATTATGAAATGGCTGATTACGTGGATTGATTTGATTAACAGGGTTCGGCTTCGAATGTGCTGCAAGAGACGTGCAGCTACATAAGGGAGCTGCACAGGGAGGTGGACGATCTCAGCGAGAGGCTGTCGGAGCTGCTCGCCTCCACCGATTCCGACAGCGCCCAGGCCGCCATCATTAGGAGCTTGCTCATGCACCAGTAGCAGAGTACAACTGCTCGATCGTCAGCACCTGATAATTAATTAATTATTAGCAGCTAATTAATGATGATTATCGCATAATATTAATGTGATGTGATGACGCCCACCACTTTATTAACCATATATAGCTACTTGTTAAGGTTTCCACCACTCTGTAGGAACCCTTTTTTTTTTCTTTTCCTGTTTTTACTATGTTTTACGTACGTGGTCACACACATATTACATATATGTATGTATGTAGGCCATCTTGACGAAGATATTAAGTGCCGGGCCTTTTTCTTAGTTTGACAATGAGGAAATCAAAGTGAAAGTAGCTAGGCTCTTACCTGTGTGTAACTCTTTTGCCTGGCTTTTTTACTATGTATTCGTAGCCCTACGGTATATAAATATATTTTTTTTACTGTTTAATTGTGATACAATACGAATTGTTCGTCGTCGCTCTTTGTTACCAATGACTGGACGGGTTCTGTTTCTCTTAAAACTTCATTTCGTAAACCTTTGCGGTTTACGGGCGGGTTTGGGATTTAAACAATGATTACCCACGAAAGTATCTAGTTAAGTACAAATCTCCATCACTTGCTTATTTGTGAGTCTAACCGTATAGTGTATAAACCACCAAAATTCAATGGGTCGTTTTCGAAGGAGTAGTAGCTAGCTGGCTGTGGCTGGATTTTTAGTCATGGTTTTTGAAGCGGGAAAAGAGGGGGGTGTTTATATTAATTAAGACACTACTTAGGATTGTGTGGTAGCTGGGTGATGTGACAGTGACAGTTAGTAACGCTGGGCTGGGCTGGGCGGGGATCTGGATTCTGGTCAACATTTGGCATCTCAAATTCAGGACGACTGACTGCTACTGCTTACTTCTGCGTCAGTTTTATATTTGATTTTTCTGTACAGTAATCAGCTCTGAAGAGATGTGATTCGCAGGTTAAGTATGGAGAGAGGGATTAATGAAGATCCTGAATTAGTGTGCAAACAGAATATTTAATTTTTTTGGTGTAGAAAAGAGAGCAGCAAGATGGACCCAGAAATGGTTGTCAAATCTTGGAAGCTGACAGGATTAATGGGAAAAGCACGTGACTTTACCCCCACCACCACCGCCTGGCCCTTTTTCGCCCCCACCCCACCATATATAATAGGGTTTTATTTTTCTTTTCTCTACGATGCTGGCTTCTTCCATGGTGGAAACTTCCAGGATTGTGCTCTCGCTCCCGGCTAATTAACTCATATATTGTACCCTAGCTAGTCACTCATCTTAGATACTTTGTTGGCTCGTCCCTGCGATTAGGGGCTGAAAATTTGATATCGGTATGTGGGATTATAACGAATACCGTATCGAATTTATCGATCTTTGGTATTATCGAATATATATTATTTATCGGGATTGAAATTGGGATTACATTTCAAGTGTTATTCGGTATTAGGGATTACGGGATTCAGATCGATATATACCGAAATATAAGCTAGTGTGTATTTTATCACTCCCTAAGTGGAAGAGGTACAACTATATGATAGAAGATGCATCGTAGCTTATCGTTGTGGAGATTGAAAAGCATGTTCATCTACGATTACATTTCTTATCAATGTGTATACTTACTTATTATGTCATTTAAATTATGTTTTACTTTATGATGCATCTCGGTAATCACTAAACATAGGGAACATCAACGCATCGAATTCTGTTGAGTCATTGTTTGAGCATTAGATGATTAGTTATGTGAGTAACTATTATTGGAGGGGCTTGTGGAATACGACCATAGAAATTTTTACGATTTATAATTTTGATTGCATTTGGTTTGCATTAACATCACTACATACACATGCACATCAAAGATCTAATGTCTTAGTTATCACTTTGATCTACATACTAGTTGATCATCATCCATGAAAATGAAAGAACCACAATTAGAGTCCTAACTGAAAATGTGTTTGTTGCTATAAAATCTCATCCGTTCAACATTGAAGCCAACTAAGGGGCAATTGATGGACAACAATTTTTTTAAAAAAATTGACGAAAATATCAAAAAATAGTCGCAGCTCGACAACCCTCCTTGCTTACGAAGGTATTCGTCGGTCGCCTAGGCACCATTTGGCCGAATCGCATCGAGTCCCCAATATCTTTGGGGTGAATTACCTTGGGTCACCTGTTAGCCCTGGAACCAATCACCTCGTTCCCCCTGAGGTAAATCACTTCGGGTCACTCCGGTCACCCCTTGAGATTAATCACCCAGATCACCCAACACCCTTGGACCAATCACCCGGAGGCACTTCAGTCACTTCTGGAGCAATCACCTTGAGTCACCACGTACACCCTTATGGCCAATCACCATAGGTAACCACATATAGGGTCAAGTACCCTGAGTCACTCTAGGAAATAACCTTGGTTCACCAAATATACATTTAGGGGCCAATCACCTCGCACCCACATAATCCCATAATTCATCGCCCTCTTCCTCACTCGAGCTCATGGACGAAGAGACGTACCCCTTTGACGGTCTCTCGACGACCACTGTAAAAGATCACCAAATCTCCAATGTAAGTGTAAGTAGAAAAATGCATGCTTAGACCCCTTAAACTTAAAATATAATTAGTGGAGACGTTGATTTTCAACTCGATTCCCTCATCTTTTTCTTAGATCATACTCTTCTTATCCAAAAGCACTCACTAATTATAACTTGAGTATCAGAAGTTGTCCTTACCACCATGGGTTGGACGACCTTTTTGCAAGCATTCACTATAATATAATATATGTAACTACATATCAGGTTCAATCAACTCTCGTCTTCAACTTAAAAAGTTTGAAGTCCGACACAACTCCGACATCAACAAAGGTGGTATCCAATGTGAAACTATGTATATTGAATATTTTGGGTTAATTGCACGTTTGGTCACTGAAATTACAAAAAACGTTCAAGTTTGGTCACTCAAAATATTTAAATCCATTGGTGGTCCTTCAGTTTACTCAAACCGTTCACGTTTGGTCACTCTCCGTCCAACTCCGTTAACTTTGGCTGATGTGGCAGTCAACTCTCAAAGTTGACCGTTAACTTAGTGACGTGGCAACTAAAAAATTATTAAAAATTAAAAAAATAAATTTTTATATTTTCCACCTCATTATTACATTCATTAAAAAAAAAAACCAAATACCCTACCCGACCCAATCCCCCTCTCCAAATCGTCCGCCACATGTAGGTTCGTTTTTGCCTTCTTCCTTCCCAGTTCTCAGACGGCGGCACAAGCTCCATGGCTCTTTCTCGTTTTTACAAGTTCAATAGAACGACTTCGTATTCTGGTGCAACTGCCCATTCTGTTCTTTGCTGCCCATATTATCCACTCAATTAACGGATTCCATTGTTATCTTCTTCCCCATAATAAGCTTTTAATATGAGCTGAATCTGATGCTTCCACAACCATGCGGCTGGAAGCCACGATCGAGAGCTTCTTTCAAACCCCCCAATTCCCTTCTCGAAAATCCAAACTTCAGATATTCATTTTCCTTAATCCACCATCGTCTCGATCCCCTTTCCCTAAAACTCCAAGAGTTGAAGTATAAAGCATCCCAGCAACTCCTCCGACTCTCCAAGTAAATGAGACAATAATAACAGCGAGAAGCTATATAGTCATCCTCAAAAATCCAAAATTCCCATAACTGCCCTTCCGGTGAAAGTCATTCAATCGATTCCGCCATGGAAAAACAACACAACCCAGAAGAAGAAGACAAAACACAGAGAGGATTGAGCATCAAAATCAAGTGACTCACTTTATTCCAAGGAGAGGAGAGGGTCGGAAGGTGAGGTGGAATGAAGTTTCCGCCGACCCTATTCCACCTCTTCCGCCGCCGCCTCACCTTCCGACCCTCCAAAACCCTCTTCCCTTTCCGCACGCATTAGCTTCGTCTTCGATCAAATCGACGTCATTGAGCGCGAACGCGCCGAGAAGCACGAAACTCTATAAAAAATTCGAGCTTGGCGCCAATCCAAAAATGACAACCAGCAGCTGCAGAATCAAGAACGGAGAGAAGAGCCGTCGGCGGCTAATTCCTGTAGGTACGATTTGGAGAGGGGGATTGGGTCGGGTAGGGTATTTGGTTTTTTATTTTTTAATGAATGTAATAATGAGGTGGAAAATAAAAAAATTTAATTTTTTAATTTTTAATAATTTTTAGTTGCCACGTCACTAAGTTAACGGTCAACTTTGAGAGTTGACTGCCACATCAGCCAAAGTTAACGGAGTTGGACGGAGAGTGACCAAACGTGAACGGTTTGAGTAAACTGAAGGACCACCAATGGATTTAAATATTTTGAGTGACCAAACTTGAACGTTTTTTGTAATTTCAGTGAATAAACGTGCAATTAACCCGAATATTTTATAATAAAGTTTAATTTATCATCTAGTCTACAGTTAGAAGATTATCTAAATTAACTAGGAAAACAACAACAACAACTAAACTAATGAGGATATGGTACATTGGGCTAGGCAATTAAAGGTTTGGTCCTCTCAACATTTGGGCCTATAGCCTATAGGTCCACGTAGATCCGGGGAGTTAGCATACATACATTCATACTTGGATAGGCACCCGAGTGGTCCATCCTTAGGTTCCTAGCGGCCCTACATGCAACTATAAACAACCTTAACTACCATTGAAAGAGGCTTATTGGATTTTCAAGGACCACGAGTGTGCTTAGGACCAGATGTTATTAGCCGTTGGATCATCTAAACCCATAAGACTCCTCCTCTCATTTTTATCTCTTATGGAATTCCAAATTAGAACTCGCCTTACCTTTTACATCTTCCCATTAATTGATTTGAGTGTCGAAGGACAAATTCGATAACCAATTGGGAATTGGGATAATGCTTGTTCAGATGATCAAGATCACTTATCATCAGTATACATCCAAGTTATTTCATTGGAAGTGGTAGCCCGAAATTCTCACATTTATATTTTATCGTCAAATTTTATCATTTTCGAAATTTAGCAGAACTCGATAAAAACATTTAACTTTTCTTGTTATAGCTGATTTTTTTAGAATACATAAAGAATTTGAGGTTAAACAACCACAACAATTGCTAAAGGTTCTCATCACAACGAATGATTTTCATAAAGGCCTTGTAATTTCTAATTTGTATGCCTTAAATCAATAATTTACAAAATGAAGCAAATTGAGTGGAACATAATTTTGTACCAATTTTGATTCTCTTCTCACCTCATTTTCAGAACGGCTTCAATAGCAATTCAATTGGATTTAGCTGCTTGCTTTGCACTAATTGTAGGGCTGGTAACCGGTTCGGTAACGGTTAACCGGTTACCGAATAAACCGGTTACGGTATACCGAATGCCCTGAAGCCACGCCCGAATGCCGCTACCGGTTGCAACCGGTAAACCGGTTACCGAATAACCGGTTAACGGTTTAAAACCGGTATACCGAAACACCGACTTCTGGAGGTTGGTCGTGGTCGAGGAGCTCGCAGCTCTGCGCCTCTGCCTCTGCCCTCTGCCCTCTGTTCATCCAACCAACAACACAACATAAACAAGGAGGCCAGGAGGGGCAGGGAAGAAGAAAGACGAAGGCAAGAGGAAGAGAAAGAACTTACAGAACGGTGGGCCGGCGGCGACTGGGGAAGACGAAGGCAAGCTTCGTCGCCGGCGACGGGGGAAGATGAACACGTCGTCTGGCAAGGGCGAACGGCAGAGTCGGAGAGGGAGGAAAATCGGAGAGGGAAGTGGGACTGTGGTCTGTGGACTGTGGGAGTGGGAAGGGTGGAAGGAGGCGTCGTCGGGAGCGGCGGCCTGTGGTCTGTGGAAGGGCGATGAAGCTGCGGCGGCGGCATGCGGCTCGCCAAGAATCTCGGCAGCGGCGCTGAGATGGAGACTGGAGGGAGAGGCCGAGAGGAGAACAGAACAGGGGAAGAACGAAGTGGGCGAATTAGGGTTTTTTTTGCCCCTTCTTCGTTTTGACTTTTGCCTATTTCCCCGACCCCGACCCCGACCCCGACCCCCTGTTTTGGCTGCAGCGTTGCGTTTTGCCCCTCTCCCAAACGGTATCCGGTTTACCGGATAACCGTCGGTTTATACCGGGTGGGGAGGCGGTATACCGGCGCTGCGTTTCTACCCTCCGACAACCGAGTTTTCCGGTTTTCGGTATAACCGGTTACCGGCGGTTACCGGTTCGGTAACCGGTTATACCGAAAACCGGGAAACCGATTGTCACCCCTAACTAATTGCATTGGCACGGACCAACGAAGTAGTGCCCGCCAAACCTCATAATGGCTGCCGCCTGCCGGCTGGTACCCAATTTTGTAACAGCCATCTCGTTAAGAAACTATGATAAGATAAAAAAAAAATTAGGTATCAAAATGTAGTTTGGCAATAATATGTTTTATAAAAATATAACTTTTAGGTACCAAATTCTAATTTCCTAAATAACCAAATATCCGATCATTGTTCAACTATCCAGTAAATGCTTCAAACAACTGGTCTCGTCGTCCCTCCTTTTCTCCTTCCTACGCTAAGATCCCCCGACTCCATATTGCATCCTCCCGCCTTCCATCGCCGGGTCTCTAATAAGGTATGTTATAAACGCGCTGCTACGGATCGGGAAATCGCCGGAATCGACAAAGCAAGAATACGAAAGCGAGAATCGAAAACACGACACAGCGAGACCCCCGATTACCAGTCGTAGCGGCTGATAGTCCGATTCAAGTCACATCAACAAATCTCCACCTTGACTTGAATCCTCTTCCTCTGAAATCTCTGATGTACTCTGCTCCTTCTCTCTCTCCCGCCATCAATGCCCCGTAGGGCGGAGTCACCCACTCAAGACATTCAGCAAGTCCAAGCAGTGTTGGAACTTGCCATGTGGAACTGGCTTCGTGAACATATCAGCAGGATTATCCGCGGTGCCAACCTTCTTCACCTTAATCCTCTTCTCTGTCCTCAAGAAATGATACCTCACATCGATGTGCTTAGTCCTCTCATGGTGGACTTGATCCTTGGCCAAGCATATTGCACTCAAACTGTCACAATACACCACTGCCTGATCATGATGTAGACCCAGATCACCAACCAGTCCCTTCAACCATATTCCCTCCTTAGCAGCTTCTGTCAACGCCATATACTCTGCCTCAGTGGTAGACAATGTCACCGCCGACTGCAAAGTTGCCTTCCAGCTCACTACAGAACTCTCAAGAGTGAATACATAACCGGTCATCGATCTCCTCGTGTCAACATCTCCAGCATAGTCCGAGTCAGAATACCCAGACACCAAGCACTCTGCATCACTTCCGAAGCTAATCCCCACATCAGGTGTACCCTTAAGGTACCGGAAGATCCTCTTCACAGCCTGCCAATGCTCCTTCCCAGGTTGTATCATAAACCTGCTGACAACACTAACAGCATGTGCAAGATCAGGTCTAGTGCATACCATAGCGTACATCAAGCTATCTACTCCACTAGCATATGGGACTCTCGACATGTACTCCTTCTCAGCCTCTGACTGCGGTGCATAAGCTGAGGATAGATGAACATTTGAAGCACTAGGAGTATTTAAGGGCTTTGCTGAAGACATGCCAAACCTCGACAATATCTTCTGGATGTAGCTCTTCTGTGACAAGAAAAACTTCTTCTTCGACCTGTCCCTGTAAATCTCCATACCCAAGATCTTCTGAGCAGCTCCCAAATCCTTCATCTCAAACTCAGCACTGAGAAGCCCCTTTAACTTCTGGATATCAGACTTTGACCTCGCATCTATGAGCATATCATCCACATACAGAACTAGATATATCATCGAACCATCCTCTGCCTTGCTGTGATATACACAACAATCATATGGACTTCTGTTGTAGCCCAGCTCAAGCATGTAACTGTCAAATCTCTTGTACCACTGCCTCGGAGATTGCTTAAGTCCATACAAGGACTTCTTCAACTTACAAACATAGTCTTCTTTTCCCGGAACCTCGAATCCTTCTGGCTGAGTCATGTAAATTTCTTCCTCCAACTCTCCATGTAGGAAAGCTGTCTTCACGTCTAGCTGCTCGAGCTCCAAGTCATAATGTGCCACTATTGCTAGTAGCACTCTGATCGAAGTATGTCTGACCACTGGTGAGAAAATCTCATTGTAGTCAACTCCTTCCCTCTGCGAGAAGCCTCGTGCAACCACCCGAGCTTTAAATTTCATGCCCTCTTTAGAAGTGATTCCTTCCTTCTTCTTGTAGATCCACTTGTTTGTAACAATCTTCCTTCCCTGTGGTCGTTTGACTAGCTCCCAAGTCTGATTCCTGTCATGGGATTCCATCTCATCTCCCATTGCGGCAAGCCACTGATCAGCTTCACCATCCGAAACTGCTTCTCTATAGGACTGTGGCTCTCCTGCATCCACTTCCTCAGCAACCTGAAATGAATACGCCACCATGTCTTCGAAGCCATACCTCTGTGGAGGTACTCCTGCAGTCGCTCTCTTCGGTCTACCGGAAGCAATAGACTGTTGAGCTCGTGCACTGGACTCTGAAGTTTCTGGCTCTGCAGAGACATCCTCATCATGTTGATCTTCTCCACCTTGGTGCTCAAACTCACTCTCATTGAGAGTTTGCAGCTCCACCTGCTTGTCAACATTCATGCTACCTTCAGCAACAGTAACCTTCAACATGGGGTTAAACATAGACTTCTCATCAAATATCACATTTCTACTAAGTATAACTCGATGCTCAGAAGGTGACCAGACTCGAAATCCCTTAACTCCATCTCCGTAACCCACAAATGCACCCTTCTTTGCCCTTGGGTTCAGTTTACCCTCATCCACATGATAATAAACAGGACACCCAAAAACTTTCAGTGAAGAGTAATCAGCAGGCTTACCATACCACACTTCATAAGGAGTCTTACACTCGATACCTGTGTGTAGTCCACGGTTGATCAGGAAGCACGCCATGTTTACTGCTTCTGCCCAGAATCTTCTCTCTAGTCCAGCATTAGAGAGCATGCACCGTGCTCTCTCCAACAATGTCTGGTTCATCCTTTCTGCAACGCCATTCTGCTGGGGTGTATCTCTAACAGTCCGATAACGGGCAATCCCTTCATCCTTGCAGAATTCGTTGAACTCAGAACTGCAGAACTCCAGACCACTGTCCGTTCGCAGCTTCTTGATCTTCTTACCGGTCTGATTCTCCACCAATGTCTTCCACTGCTTGAACTTCGTGAAAGCCTCACTTTTCTGCTTCATCATGAAAATCCAAGTAAATCTCGAATAATCATCAATAATAGACAGAAAATACCTGCTGCCTCCAATGGATTCAACTCGTGAAGGACCCCGACAGTCAGAGTGGAGGTAATCTAGTATCCCCTTCGTCCGGTGGATACCCTTCTTGGGAAACTTGCTGCGATGTAGCTTCCCAAACACACAATGCTCACAGAATTCCAAATTCTGCACCTTGTGCCCGCAAAGAAGATCCCTCTTCGATAGAACTTGCATCCCCCGTTCACTCATATGCCCCAGTCTCATGTGCCAGAGAGTGGTCATATCTTCCTGTTGAACCTGAGACGATGCAACTGCAGCAGAACCAGACAACACAGACCCTTGTAATGCATACAAGGTCCCACGCTTCACGCCCTTCAGCACCTTCCTCGAACCCTTGCAGACATATACAACTCCACCTTTTGCTTTGAAGCTGAAACCCTTGCTGTCGAGTAGACTCAAGGAGATCAGGTTCTTTGTCATTCGTGGAACATGCCTGACATCATTCACGGTACAGAATGAACCATCATGTGTCCGAACCTTTATGGACCCGATTCCAACAACCTTGCAGACAGCTCCATTAGCCATGACCACGTTACCACCATCTATCTGCTCGTAGGTTGTGAAGCAATCCCTGTTCGGAGACATATGATATGAGGCTGCAGTATCCAGAAACCACACATCACCACGATGTGCCTTCTCATCTACAGCCAAGGCGAGATCGTCTTCAGAACTGTTGTCCACTTCTGCCACGGCAACTGAACCTTGTTTCTTCTGTTGCCCTCTTCTCTTGGGACAGTTGTACTTCCAATGCCCCACTTCCTTACAGTTGTGACAAGCATCACCTGGCTGTGGACCGGGACCCTTGGAATTCTTGCTCGAATTCCCTTTACCAGATTTCTTCTTTCCCTTTCCACCTGTAACAGCCAAACCCGATGCCTCACCAACTGTACCAGATCCGGACGCCTTATGTCTGATCTCTCTCGTATGAAGAGCAGACCTGACATCCTCCAACGACACGCTTTCTTTACCAGCAATAAAAGAATCAACGAAATTCTCATATGAACTCGGCAAAGAAACCAGCAGGATTAGGGCAGCATCCTCGTCATCAACTTGAACATCTATATTACGCAGATCCAGCAAAATAGAGTTAAGTTGTTCGAGATGTTCCCTCAAAGGCGTACCTTCTTGCATCCTCAAGCTGAACAACCGTTGCTTGAGATGCAGCTTGTTGGTTAGAGACTTAGTCATGTACAGACTCTCTAGTTTCAACCACAAGCCCGCGACGTCTTCTCAGCAGCGACTTCAATGATGACGTCATCAGACAACGATAGCATGATGGTCGAGTGGGCCTTCTCCTCCAGGGTATTCCACTCATCGTCATCGACCGCTGCCTTCTTCTGTTTCGCAGACAGCGGCCCCCACAGCCCTTGCTGTTTTAATAAAGCCTGCATCTTGATCTCCCATATAGCGAAGCTGTTCTTCCCCGTGAACTTTTCGATCTTCATGTTCACCGACGTCATTCTTCTGAATCGAAAACCCTAGCCTGATTTCCAGCCACGGCTATGATACCACTTGTTATAAACGCGCTGCTACGGATCGGGAAATCGCCGGAATCGACAAAGCAAGAATACGAAAGCGAGAATCGAAAACACGACACACGATTTACGTGGTTCACTAACACGATGTGTGTTAGCTACGTCCATGGGCGAGAGAGAGCCAGTTTCACTATATCGAGGAGATTACAGATTACAGAGGAGTATGAGAAGTATTTATAGTACTTCTCCATGTGGGTCTAAACCTAATCCAATCTGACAAAGGAAACGGTTACAGACCAGGCCCAGAACCCGAACCCAAATAACAGCGAGACCCCCGATTACCAGTCGTAGCGGCTGATAGTCCGATTCAAGTCACATCAACAAGGTATTCACCTTCCTACTGTTCGATTGTGTTCAAAGTTGTGGGCTTCTTTCCATACCGATGAGTAGAAAGAGGATAGCTGATGAAGATTCAAGCTTTTGATTCAATTTTGTGTTTACGAGAGGATTTCGGGAAATTGGGGAGTTTTCTGGTTCTAGCTGGTACCGTCTGCGTATGTCTCAACTTGGGTTGTGAATTAAATTGTTGTTTCAAGGCTACGAAGGAAAAATCTTTGGGCTTGGGGCTTGACTTGGTGTGTTTCTTCTTAACATTACTAGTTTCGCTTGGGGTGGAGATCATGAGCCACGAAGGTGGGTATGCTGTTGAAGTAACGGGGCTTTCTCCCAAAGCCACCGAGAAGGATGTCCATGATTTCTTCGCCTTCTCCGGCGCTATTCAGCATATTGAAATCGTCAGGTAAACAGAAACCAAGAAGAAAGAAACATTCTGGGTTTCTTTTTTCTTCTCGTTCCTTCCGAGCTGTTGAATTTCTTTGTGGGTTTTGGCTTTTCTAATTCTGTGGAATTGACAGGTCTGGTGATTCCGCCTGTACTGCGTATGTGACATTCAAAGATGCATATGCCCAGGAGACTGCTGTCCTACTCAGTGTAAGCGTTTCACCCCAACATTGCTATACATTTCTGGTTTTTTTTGGTCTGAGGGCTAGTTCTTTTCTTGTTATAGTGTGATGAGTTCCTACTCTCTAGCTTGTGGAAGCCGGAGCTTTGTTCAAAATCACCTTAACATTTGTTGGGATAGATTTAGGTTTACTGATCTGTGTACTAGCAAATTGATAATCATCTACTTCGTCGACCAAAAACTGTTGCTTTACATAATTCGGCAGAGAGCTAGTTCTTCTGCTGCTATAGTGCGATGATTTGCTACTTGTTCTTCTGCTGCTATAGTGTGATGATTTCCTACTTTCCAGCTTGTGAGCATGGGAGCTCGATTCTAAATCATCTTGTCATCACTTGGCCTAGAGTTAGTTTAATGATCTGCTCTCTACCAAAGAATCATATAGTTAGTCAATTGACAGATGTTGGGTTACATGGTTCCGGCAATGCAAGTGTTTTTCTTAATACCTCATAGTACAGATAGGAAAATGAACCAGATTAAGTCTTGTACTTTGTCTAGTTAGTCGGTTTGCCAGCACGAATGAGGTCATTGCCATCTGCTACGGCAGCTGCTAAACCCATTTGGTGCATGCCATGGATGTTGATAAGTTCAAGATGTCCACTTGCAGTGGAGTGTCTTCTTGTGCATTTGTTCCATGAACAATGTAGTCTTCATTTAAGCGAGCTATCCCAGTGGAGCTCAATGCTTACACTTTCAGGATATCTTCCTTATGGCTTTGTGATAATTTTTTCTTTCTTTCTGCATCTTGTGACTTCAGGGTGCTACCATCTTGGAAGAACGAGTGTGCATAACACGCTGGGGACACTACGAAGACAAATTCGATTTTTGGAACAGGCCTTCAACAACAACGGATTATGAAAGTGAACCGACTGTAAGAACATCTCTGATCTCCATCTACCACACTTTTTAGAAGCTTGAGTTGGTCGATTCTGTACCAACTTTTTTCTGTAACATACCCTGTTGTCTCCACAGCAGCAACACCAGCAAACAGGCCAATTCGTCGGCGATGCAGGACAAGCAGTGACAAAGGCTCAGGAAGTGGTGAAAGAAATGCTAGCCATGGGGTATGTCCTGGGGAAAGATGCACTAGGCAAGGCGAAAGAATTCGACGAGTCCCATCAAGTCTCAGCAACCGCAACAGCAAAGGTGGCCGAGTTCACCGAGAGAATCGGCCTTTCTGACAAGCTCTTTGCCGGGATGGAAGCAGTTAAAGCCGTGGATGATAAGTACCACGTCTCCGAGACGACCAAATCAGCAGTCTCCGCGACAGCGAGAACAGCAGCATCAGCAGCAAACACCGTTATCAACAGTAGCTACTTCTCTAAGGGCGCTCTTTGGGTGTCTGGTGCTCTGAATCGGGCTTCTAATTACGCTTCTGATTTGGGTAGCCGGGCTGCCCAGCAGCATTGAGCCTATTCTGGTCCGGTTTGTCAAAATCCAGAACTCCCAGCTTATTTTGGTGGCTGAAACGAAAACTCTTTGTATAGAACTCCTTCCGCTCGACTGTTGGGAAGCGAAAGGGTTACGTTGAAACATTTACCACGTTGAAACATTTGTTGATAAGGGATGAGTGATGACTGATGAGTATGACAGAATTGACTATCAAGCTGTTAATATAAAAAAAAAAAAAATTCGGAAGAGCAAAATTCAGATTGATCAACACCGTTTGTTTATTTTCTTTTATTTAAAACCTCATAATATTAGCATAGAAAGTAGATATTCCAATTGCATCATGTAAATTTCAATAGCGAACTATAGAGTTTAAAACAGAGATAGATATAAGGTTAAAAGCACGACGATGCTTCTACTATCTAAATGATTTGTCAATAAGTTATTTTCATGATATGCACGATAGATTCGTTCGTCACCATCCATTCGTGTTGCGGAGAGGTTGCTAAATTGACGAACAAGACTAGTATGATGGGTATCGGAATTGATTCATCCTTTGACTATGAGAAGCGAGAGAGCTATTTGTCGAATCGAGATACATTGCATTCTAATGTCTAAACTCTTAGGCCAGCTGGAGATCGTCAATGACCTCACGAATCCTTACACAAATCATGAAATAATTGTCTAAATTAATCGTATAGACTCTGAATAAGCGACCATGACATTTTCAAACCGTTGCTGCCTGACAGACGGATGGAATGGACGAAGATTAAATTGTCTCCCATGCTTCGTTTCCAAGTAAGAATTTTCAAAGGTGGGTCCATTAGTTTACGACGTAAGCGAATAAGTTTCAAAAACCTTACACAGTACACTAATTGACGGCGTCGGTGGAGGGTTCACATCACCGGCCATCCTTTTGCGGGAAAAGTGATGAAAGTTCCACGCGATGAATCCAACGGCTACGATTGAAGTCAATTCGCGCCTTTACGTCGATCTTACTCGTGCGACTACACCATCCAATTGTTCCGCGATGCACCGGATTGAGTACTCTGGCTCGACCGAACGCCGTAGTCTCTCCCGCACAGTTTGGTCGTTTTGTTTGTAGCCTCGCTCGCTCGCTCGCTCGCACACAGCAATCTCTCTCTCTCGCCCTGCACCCGCCCAAAAGAATTTTGACGGAAAGGAAGATCGTATTCGCATTCCGTATCAGATCTGGCGGGAGCGGGCGAATCTCGTCGGCATTAGTCAGGAAAACATCGTCAAATGCTCAAGCAGTTCTCGCAATCGTGAAAATCGTCGGAGAGGAGAGAAGTTCGAGAAATGGAGGCGGTGTCGATTCGGGTTCCGTACAAGAACCTGAGGGAGGATGCGGAGGTGGAAATGGCGAGCATGGACGACCTCGACGAAGAGCCGAATCAGCGGATCGAGTTGGATTCTCCGGTTCCTCGATCGTCGAATCCCGGTGGCGCCGACTCCAATTTCTCTTCGCCGACGACCGATGCTAGATCGCAGGCGCCCAAGCATTGTAGCCTGGCTACTCTTGTTCTTAGTTGTACGGTCGCCGCCGGGGTTCAGTTTGGTTGGGCGCTGCAGCTGTCTCTTCTGACTCCATATATTCAGGCAAGTGAGGATGTTGTTATCGCTAGCGAATTACGCGTATGCATGTTGTTGTGTTCTTTCTGGTTCCGGTAAGGTTTGATACCCAATGTTTTAGTTGTTTGGCGCTGAGTTCTCGGGAAACTGAATTCTACAAGCTGAATTCGTAAAGTTTGTGCTGTTAATCTTTGAAATTGTTGTGTTTTGACGGTTAATGGAAATGGGTTTTGTTTCCGTTTTGATGCATTTGCTTCCAATTTAGTTCACTATGAGCTTTTTCCATAATCTTGTTAACCTTGGTTTTATGTTTCCTTGCAGACACTTGGAATAGAGCATGCTTTTTCATCATTCATTTGGCTCTGTGGACCTATCACAGGCCTTGTGGTAAGTTGATCATCCTGAAATCTAGTATTGGTGCACTTGGTGGAGCTTGTCACATACTTGTTGGTCTTATTATTAGCTGAGCATCCAATGACTCAAAGAAACAGTCTTTTGTTAACCAAACTATCATGGAATACAAAATAACACTCATTTATGTCATATAGCATATATGCTTAACTCATGGCTGCCTTGATTGTTACATTTATTTTCCATAGGTGCAACCTTGTGTTGGTATTTGGAGTGATAAGTGCACCTCAAAATATGGGAGGAGACGCCCTTATATTCTTGCAGGATCACTAATGATCTCCATTGCCGTGAGTACTCTTGTTTTACTCCACATTTTATCATCTGTTTTTGCACTCTCTGCTCAGCTAAACTAAGTGTTGCGAATTTAGGTGATAATTATCGGATTTTCTGCAGACATAGGGTATTTGTTAGGCGATACCAAGGAACATTGCAGGTTTCTGCTCTTACTCTCAGCTCCTTGCATTGTATTTTTCGGCTGGATATGAGCTTATAACTAACCAACTTCCTATTGGACATGCAGTACATTCAAAGGAACTCGAACTTGGGCAGCAATTGTCTTCGTTATTGGTTTCTGGATGCTGGATCTTGCTAATAATACAGTTCAGGTAAGCTCCCCTTAACATGGTTCTATTTGCCTCCATTTCTTTGTCAAAAAGACGCAGCAATCACGCAGCCTTAACTTTTTCCACAGGGACCAGCTCGAGCTCTTTTGGCCGACTTATCAGGTGAGGTTCTGTCTTAAGCTCAATGCGTTTTCCTTTTGTGTGACCATTTTTTACCATCTTCTGGTGGCGAAAGATGTGGAATGTTTGGTCTAATATGATGCAATTGACATATAATTGATGTTGTGGTATCATCTGTTTTAGGCCCTGATCAACGCAACACAGCAAATGCAATTTTTTGTTTGTGGATGGCTGTTGGAAACATTCTTGGATTTTCTGCTGGTGCCAGTGGTAGTTGGAACAGGTAAATTAATCAAAAGCTTGTCTGGCAGGATGACTATTCTTTGAGCAAATGCATGCACCCATGTTTATCTTGAAAATCTCTGTGCTTAGCATCAGTAGCTGTCTAACTGAGTATAAAGTATTAGAAATGCTAGACCAGGCATAAGATACTTAGTCATATTCTTTTTATTGCTCTATGCCTTTGTCATTCAGATTCCTAGCTGATTGTGCTTTTCTGATGATCTTTTCTTGCCAGGTGGTTTCCTTTTCTGATGAGTAGAGCTTGTTGCGAAGCTTGTGGAAATCTCAAAGCAGCATTTCTTGTAGCAGTGGTAAGTGACAGCAAATGAGAACATATTTTCTTCTGGGCACCAATTGCCTCTGAACCTTAGTCTTAAGCTATGTTTTTACTGAACTGTTAAGATGAGATCTGGTCGCCTGGATATCGAGCTGTTTTGTGTTAATTTCGCTTCTATCTGAGCCTTCCGCTAAAAATAGTTCTGTGGGCTGTTCGGCGGAGATAATTAAAAAAGTTTCTATATTACAAAGTTCTTGAATGCCATTTCGAATGGGATGAACTTGCTGAAAAACTGTCGTTGATTTGAGATATGTGGCGACAGTCTGGACCTGGAAATAATAAATTTCTTTAACTTTGAAGACCTCTCGAGGAGAAAGAGTAACGTCTTCGTGATGTCTTTGCAGGTATTTCTAACCCTCTGCACACTTGTGACCCTTTATTTTGCGGATGAAGTCCCACTCAGTGCAAGCCAGCCTCGTGGATCATCAGATTATGCTCCATTATTGCGTAGTCCTAAACAAAATGGCATTGAACTATCAAAATTCGATTCGGATAATAAACATATAGGAAATCCTAGTGCGAACAATACAGGAAACGGGTATGAGAAGAATTATATTCATAATCATGCCGAACATGTGGGTGATGCGAGTGAAAGTATTGATGATGGCCCCGGAGCAGTTCTTGTGAAATTATTGACCAGTTTGAGGCATTTACCCCCTGGGATGCATGCAGTACTTGTTGTTATGGCTCTTACCTGGGTATGGATTTCACTTGTGCAGTTATCTGTCAGTTACTCTCAGAGCTTTGTGGTATTTCTGATTAGCATGATACCAAATGCATCTTCATTCACAGGAACTGCTGCGAAAGTTCACTTAATTTATATGTCTCATTTATCTGCAGTTATCGTGGTTCCCTTTCTTTCTTTTCGATACTGATTGGATGGGCAGGGAAGTTTATCATGGAGATCCAAAGGGGGATGCTGTGGTGATTAACATGTATGATCAAGGTGTCAGAGAAGGTGCATTTGGTTTGCTATTGAACTCTGTAAGAACTCGAATTTGAGCATGTTAGCTACTTGCCCAGACATCAGTAGGACATATTGGATTATGAATCTGACTCCCTGCCTCAGTTGTCTTACTATTTTAATTTACATACTGTGTTCTTCCTTGCATTCTTATGACGTTCACTTTTGTCATATATCCTTGAATTACAAGTTTAAAAGGTTTGCCTTTGGCAAAATGACTATGGCTGAAGAGGAAGAAAGTATGAAAGTGAGTCCAGTATTAGGATATTAATGAGGCTGTCTTTTGAATTTTTTTCCTTACACACGCTGCATGATGTTAAGTATTGATGTCAAGGAAAACCTTAAAGCCACTGATTTACTGCTTCCGTTATATCTTTGTGGAACGATCTTGGGAAATGTGCATTCAAATCCATTTGCAACATGGTGTCGATTAGGTTCTCTTCCTTCCTATTATTAATTCTTTGCTTTCTCTTCAAATTTTGGAACAGGTTGTTCTTGGCATCAGTTCTTTCCTTATTGAACCAATGTGTCAGAAGATGGGGGCAAGACTTGTATGGGCGATGAGCAATTTCATTGTCTTCGCCTGCATGGCCACTACTTCCGTCATTAGCTTGATATCTCTGAGTGAATATTCCAGGGGAATTGAGCATCTTATTGGAGGGAATTCTGCGATCAAGATAGCTTCATTAGTTGTTTTTGCTCTTCTTGGATTTCCTCTTGCTGTACGTACTATTTCCCCGTTACAAGATCTTCCATATTTGGTTTCTTTCTCCACAGCCCTTTACTGACCGTGTGCTTCTGACAGATAACGTATAGCGTCCCTTTCTCAGTTACAGCTCAGTTGACAGCTGATTCTGGTGGTGGCCAAGGTTTGTACTCTTGGTTGACCTTCCATTTAACATGTCTTTCTCCACTTAATGCCAGCACACTAGAGATCGTCATCCCTAATTTTGTTTGTGTTACTCCAGGACTGGCCATCGGAGTTCTCAATCTCGCAATTGTT